TGTTCATAAGGTTGTTCATTATTTGATTGGTGTTTTGAATAGTTATATGGATTTGTCTTTGCTGTACTTGGATGTCTTAAATTTTATTGTTGTTGTTGTGTTCACTTTTCTAGTTGTTTTTTGGTTGGTTGTTGTTTGTGCTGTTTAGAAGTATCTTTTGTTTCCTTCATGGCCTCCACACCATCCTCGTCGTAATATTCTAGATTAGTAATTCTCTCATTCATTTTGATCATTAGTTGTTTGATTTCTATAAGGTCATGTTGCATATGTTGAAGAATGTTCATCACCTCTTGTAGATTATTTGGATTGTCTACTGGTTGCTTTTGAATTGGTTGTGTTTTTGCTGCTGCAGCATATGATCCTGGCCTGCTTGATCTTTGGTGGGTTTGCATCATTTGTATTGTTTTCCTAATGTTTGCTGTCTTTGCAGATTTGAATTTCTGATAGAGTCTTCCAAATCTAGTTGCTTGCTTTTGGTTATATTGTTGCCATTGTGTTCTTTATTCTTTGATTGGGCAGTTAACTGCTAAGTGTGACATGTGTATCACAAATTGCACAGGTCTTATTGTCGATATGTGCCCATGTGATTTGTGTTTTCCCAAGTGTAAACTCGTTTTCTAATACATTTTGCAAATCCTCTTGACTTTTAAAACTGATAATTGCTACTTTCCTTCTCTGGTAGCTGCTGGTTCTAGGGATGTAGCAGGTTTTTGCTTTAACCTGTTGACATATTATATATAGATCAAATGTAGTTGTATTTGGAGGTAGGTTGATCAATTTTGCTGCAATGTTTCCTCTGTTTTTCATTTGTTGTAAGCTGAGTTGTGCATCAAAGATCCTTACTGAGTCTGCCTTGAGTGGAACACTTTACATGTTTACTAATTTCTCCTTGCTACTCTTTTCCTAAAAGGTGATATGAATGGTTTGTCACATGTGTTGAATACTTATACTCATGCTGGTGATCTGTCCATATTTGGTGAAAGCTTGACAAACCTCTATGGGTTTTGTGTCTAGGGGGATATCCCATACCCTGATACTGTTTTTCTGTTTTAGTTTAAGAGTTGTTATCGATATGTGTTTCATATGCTTGCTTTCTGTTTCTAGGAGGTTGATTTCACATGCAAGGTCTGTGGCCTGTCTGTTACCAAAAATAGCTATAATCATCTCTTTTCTTGTTTTCCTTCTTTACGAATTGCAAGAAGGCCTTCAGGGCTACTCATTGCCTTTATAATATATTGCATTTTTTCCCAGGAATTTTCTCTTGATACTTCTGCTGCCATGATTCTGACCTTGCTATATTGTCTACCATATCTTGTTGTCCTGTCAAAGGGAAGCGTGGTCTAGGTTTGATGCTTGTTCTTTCAGCTTTTCCCTTTTCCTTAACCATATGCAACCCATTTTTTTCCTCCAAAGTGTCTTGATCCATTGTATCTATTTTTTCATCACTGTCATTGATTTTGCCAATTTTTGTCTGCTTTCTGGTTCATTGATTTTTCTTCTTTGTGCTTCTTCATTGTGTATTAACCTCCTATCATCGTTTGGGCAATAGCTGATGTTTCTCTGAGTTCTTCTTCCACCATTTGGCTCCACCTGTTTTCTGTACCTATTTGTGTGGATTTTTCTCCTGTCTTTATGTTTTGCTGTTGTCTTTGTTTCTTTGTCTTGAAGGGTAGTATTGGTACCTGAGTTGAGGCTTTAGTTGTTGGCTTGTCTTGTTTTTTGATGGGCTTCTGTGTTAAATAGGGAGTCACTTCTTTGCTTTTTGTGTTGTTTCTCCCCTTGAACATGTCTGCTATATTGTAGTTAGGCCTAATGGCTCAACTAAAGCTTCTCAGACTTCTGTTCACACTCATTTTTCACTTCACTTTTTGGTTTTCTTTTTTGATAACTGTATGCATTTTGGAAAGAATGATGAATATATCTGTTTTATAGATAGTAAGCTAATATCTATAATAATATAATTAGTATTTTATTAATAATTATATAACAAGTTATACTTTTACTATATTAATAAAGATCATGAGTAAGGTTTCAATTTAATATTAAAAAAAATAATAATTAACTAATCATAATCTTTTTATTCAAATTATATTATATAATAACAATTTTTGATCTTAAAAAAAAAAACTTCTGATTTCTTTGCATTTGAAAAAAAAGGAAATATAAAATTTTTTTACAAAAAAAAATTGTTAAAGACCCTGGAAGATCCTCTGCATTCTTTAAAGATCAAGTAGCTAAACTTATACATGCTCTTCTCGATGTTTTTTTCCCAATATAACAAGTACCTTGCAGTTATTATCCATAAAAACATCAAAAGTAATATCATATTCACTACTCTACCAATCTCTACAACCAAACTTCTCAAATTATAAATCCTTTAAAAGCATGGCTAACTCTAATCCACATTCAAGAAAACAATCAAGAAAGCTACAAAGTGGTATCAGTATTATTTGAAATTCAAAAAAATAGTCTAGGAAACCATTATACCAATATAAAAGTAATCCTCTTGAATTCAATACCTCTTGATGCTCTCAACTCTTTTCTTGAATATCAGTATATATTCTCTCTATTGGATAAAGGCAGAACCAATAACTTCAAAGAATTATTAAAATAAAAACTCAACTATGAACTTCATATCTCCTGAAATAAACTTGACATTAACATTGACAAAAATTCTAAAACTTTTGTCTTTAAGCAAAAAACTGAAATTTCCATACTCTTCCAAACACTCCTGCCCTAATTGAAAAAAATTGAAAAAATATCATGCAACTTGATTGTGAAGATATAATATATTATGCATCAACCCTTGAATATAAAAATAATTAACCCAATTCCCATACAATTATATCTTATAATTAATTAATTACCCAAATTAATTTGAGTAATACTACTTTCAATTATACTTCCAAATATAACAACATGC